CTGGTATTAATGAATCCACACAGTATACACAGCACACATGCGCACAGGTCGGGTGGAACAAGGGAGAAGGCCGGAGTGTGGTAACGACACGTGTATTGAGCGAAACCGAAACTGGAAGCGGGGGGTGGGTGTCGGGTCAAGGTCAGTTAGGGGGTGTACAAGTGGGGTACTCTTCCCTGTCCAGGGCCCGTGGTGATTCGTCCGTGGTACCTGTAATGGGGGAAGAGAGAAAGGGAGGGGCACGTATAAGGTCATATGAGAAACGGGCAAGCAGATACATTCGAGTTTCAAATTCGTTATAGTTAATGTATTCAAAGTCGGCGGTGTTTATTCACCTGGGGCTTAAGTTCACTTAAACAAATTGCCATAGTAAAGGATTTTTAATAATACAGGAGCATATACATTATACATAGACATTCTACACAATGATGTGGCAAGCCTGAAAATGCCGTAGGTTTCGAGAAATCAATCTCATTGTGCGAATAGCCAGGGCGACGGCGACGGGAACTGCGGGGAAGCTTCAAAATGGCCGGACGGCTGTGGCTTGGAATTCATGCACAAGCCAACATTCTGATTGGTTAGCTTTGCACGAGCCAGGAGGCGCGCGCGTTCGAATTGCATTTGTGCACAAGCCAAGGAAAAATCGAGTTAAATGGTTGGAGCGCATAAACTAAGGAAATATGGACTATCAGTGCAAGCGAGAAAATAGCATGGAACAATTTTGATAATTTATTACAGGATGCCTCTGCTTCTCCGGCTGCAATGTGCCATAGGATATTTATAGAATAAAAAATCTTAACATCACATAATGTGTCCGCGAACCTTACTGTATCCACCGAACTCTCTTTTTCACACAACCTTTTTCTGACTAAGTACATCATTTCTTCCAATTAAAGCTTCGGAGAAACTCAACATTTGTGTTTTCGGAAATCTCGATTCAAACTTAACTATAGTCATGGAAAATGTAACCTAGTTAAGACTTCGCACTCAGAACGTTAGGTTGCTTTCATCTTTTTGAATCATATTTTAGTGCTATATGAGTCAGCAAAAGCAGTAGCATCCTATGAAGTAATATGTTAACCTGGAAAGTCGAGAAGAGGTCGAGCGACGACGCCCGGGCCTCGTATGCAGTGGTTGCACGTTTCGGTGTGGATCAGGTGACTAGGACCAGCTAATAATTTGCTTCAGTTTGGCTTGTGCATGAATCGACTCCCGACAGCTGTGCACTGCCTTATTTGCAAAAGTTCCACCCTAATTAAAAGCTCGTCTTCTGTCATCACATTCTGAGAAAATAAAGTGAACTACTTGAAAAAACGGCTTGATGAGATCAACAAACCTAGAGTAAAGTTAAAGGAAAAATTGCAATAACAGGAGAAAGAAAGGAATAGTTCTAAATATAAAATGCCTTCTAACATCCTCATCTGCATCATGTAATTTCGGCACTCATGGCTGAACAGGGAATCGCTTGGATCATACGTTCTCATCCTTCATCCCTCTTCCGTTGAGATTTCAGGGACTCGAGGAACTCCGGTGTCGATGGAGTGGGTTTGAACAAACAAGCCCATTAAATGCGACATTCGAAGGCTTAAAAATGGAATTCGAGCGACGTAATCTTACTATCTAAAAGTTATCCTCTGGATTGCTGCTGAAATTCAGAGTACCTTTCGTCTTCTCATATGACAACTGCTTCGTCTGCGTAACCTGAAATCGATAATTGACCATACTGTTTGTGATGGACTTTTTACGCGGCAGTTTTGATTCCGGTACTCATTCTCGATCGGCCGATGATGTTGATCAAGTTCGGATGAGAAGCTAGGTGCCCGATGGTACTTTGCAACCATTTTTCGGTTTCCTTGGCGATGTTTTGGGTGGCAGTCGCTTTCGCTGCTGATCCTGACCATTGTCCAGGTTTGTATTTCGCACTGTACTTTTTGGTTGACGCTATTACCACAACCTCCGAAAAAAATTATCGTTAGTTCGTCACATACAAAGTGAAGCTGCGCTATTACTATATTATTTCGAGTGTCTTCATCCCCACAACTTTTCGATTCTTCATTTTTATTACCCACGAGGAGTTCAAGAAAGACGCCGTAGGCTTTCACTAATGAATAGAACCTTATTTTTTTATATGCACTGCAACAGCGTTCTTAAGCATTTGTTCTCGTCACTCTCCGTCTTTGCGTATGGTGTAACGCTTTTTTAAATTTACCCATACGGTGTCAACATCCCAGTGAAAAAAGCGGTGCCAACTCTCGTTACGCTCGTTTAGACGAAGTATGAGGACAAATTTCTCCGAGACAGGTAGATGTCCAGGGGAATGTCTACGCCAATCCCTTGGCAGAATGCTGGGATAAACCTCATACTTTGGTAGTGGCTGAGTGCTGGCTCGATAAGCTGAGGTTTGTAACCCAGGCATCAACACTCGCACAGAACCTGATAAGAACGCACACAGTATTGGAGTGGTTTGACTCTGGGTGGTTTCCTGTAACAGCCAGACTTCTAGCCACGTTCGTATGAATTATCATGGAGTATGATGCATCGGCTCATTTACTCTTCACGAGAGGTGAAAATCTGAAATTCGGACAATTACAGTGGTTGACGACGAGAATACCACCTGAACTGGGACATTTAAGTCACATCCGTTGCTGTTCAGAGGTATACATTCTCACAACTGAATTCAATTGCGCTTACACGGACGGGTCTCTCTCGTCCGGAAACCTACGAGAGCGCAAGCTCCAAGTTGTGGCGTGCCTTCCCAACCACACAAGGACAACGACCACATGATAGCAATAATATGAGGTTGGAATGCCACAAACAATGCCTTAGCAAGCATAAATGGCAAATTTCGTGAACCTCTTACGCACCTGACCGAATCCTGCTTAATAACTGTCAGCTTAATGTGACAGCTGGAGCCCGGAATTTCGTAGCATGTCACCCTTACAGATTCGTCATATAGCCAGTATCTGGTCAGTCTTAGGGTTGAACTTATAAATATATATACGCATAATACGTATCTCTGAGTCTTTTGCTATCATTTATCCGAACTCGAAAAATCATGGGTGCCAATATCCGCTCATCACACATTGCAGAATTCTGAACCCCGCGGGCACCCGGAAATTTTGTTTAAAATATGATAGTGAAAAGCGTGCCATTTTCACAAAGAAGTGATGCACCACTTGTTGAAGCAACTTGTTGAACGCGGTCGAATGCTTAACAGGCAGAGTCACTTCAGAGATGGCTCAAGATCATCGCATGGAATGCTTCTTATTGAGTTTATGTTTGGGACTTGACTACACCAGATATTACATTTCCATCGCTGGACTACCCAGGTCAGCGGTCTTTCCTGACGACCTTTTTTTCACAAGCCCCTTGCCGTTTTTTCCCGCTGTTAAACTTTGGGTCATTTTGGGAAATCGCTGTAGCGAATGGCCACCAGGATAGACTGCGAGACGTGCGGCATACCAAACAGCACTTAACGGGCCTTGTGAAAGACGGACTTGCAGTTGATGCAAGAGGACACCGGTCGCCTAGATATTAGGACTGAGGAGCCCACCACTATGGATGGTATGTGACGCAAAAGTCGTGATAATATCGTGACACCAATAGTAAGCTGAATTCCAGTTGAGGACAAATGGCCAACACTCAGCAGACCCAAAGAATGTCAGCAGAAGGGTTCATACATAAAACAAAGATTAAAGACGTGAGCATATTTTTTCTAACGTTTTTTAAGTCACAGAGTTGCATAGGAGAAGACGGCAGTATTCTGGATGGCTTGAAATAATGCGCCAAACTGTTGACTGAAAAATCCGTGATCTCAATCCGACCTCGGAATCTAAATGATCCTGTCTAGGTTTGGACAGGAGCATGGCAGCTTGGTAGCGTTAAGACTAAAAAGCCGAATGATTATGGTTATTTTGGCTTAATCTAATGAGAACACTAGATGCCAGGGAAAAGGCAAAGTGGGAGATGTTACTGGCCACGTGTTGGGATACAACTGATTCAAGTCACCAACAGGATGACCGCAGGTTGTCAGTGCGGCCTGCGCAATGATTACTTGTTCATTATCGGAAATTCGTAAGCCGGGAGTTGGTTCACTATGAGGAACGAACAGTTTCTGTGGAAATAAACTTTGGTCTCGTAGTCGAGTGACGCTGTTCTCAGCTACTGAAACTGTATGATGCTGTACGAATCCTGGTTTATTACCGTCACTCTGTAGAAAATATGGAAACTTTTGTCGGGATTGTGTTGTCTAAAGTGTTTGGAAGATGCTGTATGACTAAACTAGTTTTCGCTAACCTAGTTCCAGAAGCTATCCACGGTTGAATGTGTTTTTCCTCCAGCTGAGTAGCTTTGTTGTGCATCCAATGTATTCCGCTTTCAAATGAACCTGCTGTAACATGAAAGATGCGGTACCATTCCAAAAAGGTAGCATTGTGGAATACCAGATTTTTGCGAGACAATCATTTAGACTTCAAAAGTCAATAAAACACTGAAAAATGTCGTCAAAAAGGTATATGTCACTCACCTACATTTCCGCAGTATGCTTGAACTGTTCCGACATGGTACTGTCTGCTGATGATCTTGTATTACGAACCCGCTGACAAGTTGAAAGCCTGTTATGGTGTAAGAATGCTCCTGAAGATAATTCATGCAGTATTTGTGCAATTTGGCAAAGTACCGAAAATCAAGTCAGGGATATACTACTTCAAATGTCAAGTTATCCTGGTATAATACGGTCCATTTAGGGATAAATTGAGACCATTGTCAGCCATAGCACTTCAATCTCAAAGCTGCCATAATAACAAATCTATGATGAGCGCTCCATGCTGGTGACTTCAAAGTGTTAACGATTTTGGAAAAGTTTTCGAACAAACAGCATCCACAATTTTACTTGGATGGGCCGGGGAAAGATTTGAAATGTACCAGCTGCCAATCAACATCAACACGTCTGAGCTAATGATGACACCTGGTTAGATGCATGGAGACAGAAAGCGAGATCACGCCTCTGATGCAGACACAGAGACTCTGGGGCACTTATACAGAACCATCCCAAAACGGACGCTGGCATGAGATGGATGCTCAGAAGAACCTTCCAGGCATAGACCTGAGTGCTATTCAAAATGCTAAGCACTACCACTCGGTAAATGAGTACCGAAAGCCGCCGTAGTATCCACCCACCAAAGATAAGCACCACGCTGTTGGGTTAGTACAGCGGCTATTAATGCGCGTGGCCACAAAGACGTACAAACAACCGCATCGGCAAATGTTCCAGACTCCAGAAGTCATCACTAGTGATTACAGTCGCAGCAGATGAAACTTGATGTCTGCCTTTGAAGTAGTAAAATAAAAACTGTACTAAGTTATTATAAACGTGTTCTTCTAGCAAGCGGCGTACGGACGAATTGTCACAAGTACAAATTTCTGGTACATTTAACAAACGAACCAGCTCACATGCGTTGGGTTTAGAAACTCACAGCAACAAACTTCATTAAATTTTTATGGTGAAAAGCTCAAGCAATCAGCATCAAAGGATCCAGACACTCATCCAACTTTTGTAACAACCACTGCAACACACATGCTATGAAAAGGATCTCAGGACAGTTATCTTAATCATGTAGTATGAGATCCCCTAATTGCACGCACAAAAGCCCACGTGCATATAAACTGCGTAACAACTGAACTGCCTTGAGTTACTATATAGTTCATTCGGACAGTGCAAAAATACAGAGAATTTTCAAAGACTGTATTTGTTCAAATTTATTGACATTAAACGGCATGAGGTATCCGTGAAGGCGAAAAGATAAATCAGTGACTGATAGCCTCCAACNTCAGGTTCGTAAGTACTCCAAGGTACTCTGGTGCATACAAATTTAGAGTAAAGCATCCTTCGATGAATAATCCCTGTCACATTCGGTTGTTTGCTGAATTCTTTCTAGTTTACAGCATCCACCCTTAGCTACTAAAAGAAGATTATCGCTCTGTATTCTTAAAGAAATTGTATAAACATACTCGCTGACCGCTTAACTGAATCCTCCACCCAATACAAGACATGATTTCCTACGTCTTCAGAGAGTCTCCTCTTTCTTGGCTGACGATCAGCATCGTGTGATTCGTTGTCCCTAACAGGGCACTTATCTGCACCCTGAGACCTTGGGTCACACATTTTGTGGTACTGGGTGTGTAGCACGTTGTATTTTCACCGTAGACAGGCTTCAGGTGTTCACGGTTGGTATCAGGTAACAACCCTGTGAATTGGGTCTTACGTGTGAACTCAGTGGATATACGAATGAGTGTAGTTGCTGCAATCTGTACATTTTGAGTTCAAGAAAAACATAAGGTTGACGGAAAATCGGGAACCGCGCTTAACTGATGAGCCTCAAGAAAAGCAAAACCGGTGATAAACTGTCAAAAAGTTTTCAGCATTCTTTTGAATTATTTCGTTTGTGAAAGTATCCCGAAATATCTCAAATATATTACCAACTGAAACATGAGGCGGACTTTGTGCAGCACATTCCGTTGAGGAATAGCATAGAAGAGTGCCTCATTTGAGTCATCCGTGAAATCCAGTTGATATGCATATTATTGTATTTCCTTTCTTGTGTTGTTTCTTCTAATTGCTTTTAATTTCGTAGTTGCTGCTTACAAACCGGTCGCCTGTTAGTAGCTTTATTTGGGCGTCTCTTTCAACCCACCCCTATTTGTTTTGATGAATGCAGCACGGTAAGAATGTCTCTTGGCACCTTACCCTTCTGAGGTCACATTAGATTTTATTTGCACTAAAAAAGCAGGTGAGCCGTCGACATTTCCAAAATTATTCTGTCCAACGTTCCTATCTTGTAAGCTGTATTACTATGCTTCTTATGCTGTCTGCATAAATGTTGCGCACCAATAACGCAGTCGACGACTGAAAACACTCCTTCACAGTGTGCTCAAATCTTCACGGTCATTTTTATCCTTTATATCACCCGAGAGCTTTAAAAAAACGCCATTGTGAATGGCCTCTACCCTAGTCTCGATTGTAGGCTCTGTCCCGCTACTTAGGATACCAGCCCTAAATTTATCCCTCTGAACATATTCTCATGGCATCTAGCAGTTATATCTTTTGGAACCAGGACTTTGCGCGCATCACTACCAACCTTGCTTGATGGTAGACACCAACCTTCCAATGAACAGATGTAACGTTCACTAGTGACACTTTAAAATCCCACAGCATGTTACTTTTCCTTCTATCTTTAGTGTGCCATTGTCGATTTGCATCAGTAACCTTTTTCATCTTAAGTTAACTAGCCGTTGACATGTTGGCAAACACTATCAGTCTTTCGTAAACATTGACTTGGTGTAGACTTGTTGGTTTGTAATACGGTTTTCCCGGTGATAACTGATGATAGTATTAGCCGGATCCACACCGCCTGAAGAACCCAAAAGGTGACCATCTAAGAGAAAACTGGATACCGTATTACTCACCTCCTATTGTGACCTCGTGCAGGGCGCATTTTAAATCTCCCACATAAAACAGCATCTGTAATGTACCGGAGTGGACTGTGTGGTAGCATTGGGAGTACCAGAATCTTCAAGTATGAACAGTGGGTGAACCAAAATTACTACAAGCATTGGTTAAAAATTTGTGCACTCCAGTGAAAGCACTGAACAAGGACATAAGCTTCCTTGAAATGGTGTATACACCGTGTTCCATTATATTCAAAACCTAACTAGATCAGTTAATCCCATTCGTATTTGAAGGAAAATGGGATAGTTATTTGGAATAGTGGCTTGCATGAAAAACGGATTCAGCACAAATCGTAGTAGACGGTTACTTTAATCGTTTTTTAGAAACTACAATATGAAATTGGTACGTGAAAAGCTGAGTTCATAAGGAGCGCTGACCGTAGGACATCAAGAACTCTTTTTGAGAGATACAAAGGCTGACGGCGGAAGGTATGAGTAGTTTTGGTTTGTTCGTTTACCTAGCGTGAACCTGTTATCAGCTATTTACTCTGAGTCACTGTTAATGAAACAAGTCTTGTCTCCCTGGAATTGGGCGTGACCAGAACCTTCGGAACTGAAATCTATCGGACGGAGTCGCAGTCGTTCCTTGATAAAATACATTTGAAGGCCAAAATTTCAAAATAAATGCACTTCCCCCAAGGAAGCTCTCAAAAGGCTGATTGCGGCCACTGCACCCTCAGTAAGAGAGAAGCATTCCCAAAGACGAATTAGTCAGAGTGATAAGCGGTTACCAGTTACTTCTTGAGCCTGGATGCTTTAGCTAGAAATGGAGCTTTATCAGGCTTGTTGTACTTGGTTGACTACACAGGTACCACCACTGAAAGTTTCGGACCTCGTCACCGGCGTTCGTCAAGTCAAGAGAGCACTTCATCCTTTAGGGACTGTCTTTTATCTCCAGAAATTACCTTATGCATACCTCAAAGTCAAACTGTTTTGCTTCAGTGATTAAATTCTTTCAAGTCTAGTCAACACCTCAGCTGACGACTTCCTGCGGATCTGCTGCATCCTCGTTTGGAAACTAAGACCTATGGATTTTGATTCCGCCTGAAAAGCTTGTAATCAGAAATGACGCAGCCATTTCCTCTGCCTTCAATGAAGTTGCACAAACCAGGGTAAAACTCAAATGCGTTTACACCGATCGTGTGCAAGGGAGTTCGGCAAACCTTGAGCATAAACCAACAACAGCCAGTCAATGAGGTTTCCACCATTCTACAGTGAACTTCACACCACTGCAGTGTCAAATTCCGCCGACTAGTGCTTACTGGTAGACTCGGACCGCGGATGTACAGGAAACTACTGATGACTGTTTTTTCATTTAAAGGACAGAGGAACTATAAAGAAACCCCGGCTCTCGGAAGGTTGCAATTTTTATATTTTGCCCTTTCCTCTTGTAATAAATTTGCCAATGGGGTAAGAAACGGGAATTCACACAAAGTAAACCCTTATTTTTGTTCGTTTATGCAGGAGGTAACTTGAATTCACAACAAACAATTCGAAATTGTGTTGCTTACTAGATGACTTTATTTCTGTGCTACTAATCGAATTGAGGAAAAACATGGCCAAAATAACCATCCACCGATGATTCTCATACGCATTACGCCCGTTTTAATATGCACTTATCATTCGCCACTGAGTGGTTCTGCATTAAAAACCCCATCCTAGCTGTCGAAAAGTCTCCCTTAATGACGGTATGGTGGCCAAATTGTCACACTGCCACACCTATCAGAAAAGTGAAACCCACCTTTAATGACAAGGGTGCAACGAGTATATTTAATTGCCTATCTCTTCGTGATCTTATGAGCGAGAATATTGTATTGAAAAACCTGTGAAGGTAACCGAGTTGCTGTTTATGCGCGTCTCAGGACAATTTAGTCTTCAAACAATCGTCAGGTATTCTCACCATCTGCAATTGATATCACGGAGAGTTCTATAAGCCATCGGTGACGTCCTAAATGACTAGCTAAGTGCTTTGTTTGGGTTTAAGGCTCTGCAGATGAAGGTTTCTGAGGTTTATGGCAGGCAAATTATTTTGTCCTGGTCACGGTATGCTTTAAGCCAAGAGACTAGTTTCTTTTATCTGACAATTAACGATGCGGTTGCCGTTCTTCAACCACAAATTGAACTCTTTTGATCAAAAAGACGCTAATTCAAAGTCAGAAGCTTGGGAGCACACCTCAAAGATTCTACATGAGCCGGTGTAATTAGTAAAAACTAAAAAAATAGCTACGGCTTGTGGCAACTTTGCCAACTTATGGGTTTATGTACTCTGTTCTTCTGTAGGGTGATAAATCCTGCCTTTCTGAGCGGACTATTGAGTTTGGGAAATAACGGACAATTATGCGTGCAAGCGAGGCGATTGTGGTGTTTCTTCCTACTAAATAGTTGGTTACAAGATAAAAATACATATTTCGTAATCGTACCAATATGTGGGCCATTTGGTGTGGAAAGATTAAACGGGGCAGCCCCCTTGCTCCCACAATAAGTAAATTTGTGCAGCGTTAAAGTAGTTTTGTCTAAAGATAGAATTTTTGTGGCAGCATCATTGTGTGTTCACGTTGAAAAACGGAGAGATGTACTTAAGTACAGCATTTTATCAAGTCAGGTATAGGAGGTAAACAGAGCCATTTTCAGCGCTACTGTTAGTTGTTATCCCACATCTAGTCCACCGATGTGAAAACAGACTAACCAAAATTCAGGGTTGAAATCCATCACGTGATTGCACTTTTAAGGATCAGCTTTCTAAACTGCTGAGGCCTCTAAGGGAAAGTTTAAAACACGGAGTACGTACGCACTGGAAATTTGAAGTTATTGGTTACTTGCTGGGTCGAAAAGCACCCTCAAGTTCTCCCATGCCTACTGAACTCAATGAGTATATATATCATTTGCAGATCACACTCCTGTATTTGGCCTAGTAATAGTGGATGAATTCGGATTCCTGATGGCGAGCGAGTTACCACTGCTAATGGTTTTCTGCTAACTGGCTACTTTGGTACGTCCAACACTCGCAAATATTGGCGGATGCGTGTATCCAACAGTGGCTCAAAATTTAAATTCCATCTAGAATCACCGTGCAATATATCGTATCGTTTAAACTGCTAGGTTAATGAATAGGTATAGGAAATCCTTTAACTACTTTATAGTAGATATAATAACCAGAAATTTCAGACAGCTGATAAGGTTGACAGATTTGTGTGGGTTCTGTGGATAAGATGCGATATGTCCAGCAATACAGTCCACCAAATTTTGTTCTGATTGGACCACATTGTTTAGGCGGCAGGAGAGTTTTATCTTAGCCAAGTTCTTTAATATCGACACCACACTCTTAATTCGTACCGGATTCTACGCGGGGTTCGCATTCTGTTGGCCTAATGTTCCCACGAACTTCATTGCAACGGCAAAGCCAAAAAATTACTTCTTTAAGATCACGTGAATTAAGGACTCTGAAGCACAGTGGATGCGTTTGTCAAGACTTGAGACTCAGTAACTAAATGCTGCTTGAGGAATAAACCACTGTTTAGAATAACAATGAACATTTGCATAAAAAGGATGAAAATGACCACTTTTCAACTCAAGTTTAGTATCAACCAGGTGAACAGGAAACACAACTCAGTTTATCGTTTACGGTGTGCTTCAACTAAACCAACTGCTCTCTCTTGTGTCAGCTTGTATGACTTTCCAAATGGTAAATTGCAAAGTGTTGACATAACAAACCACGTATATGGTTGAAAAATGTCACGAACGAAAGGTAAAGTCAATTGTGTCCTGCCAGTTGCCTACAATCCAATATACAACAAAAACAAAAGATTTACGAAACCTCGGATACTACGCGTAACCAATGAGCTTCTAAATTGGGTTAGCCTGTATGGTGGTTATCAAAACGTTTTCAGTAGCATTTTTGGTAGTGTGATACGTCACCTAGAAAGTCAATGGTGTTTTTCTGAAAAAAAGTTTAGTGGCATTTTCACCGCATGAGAAAATTAAACTATTTACCTGTCACGCTGCTCCAACGACATCCGAATATTCTAAAAGAGGCCAATACACCTGCAACTTCTGTGAACGGCAGAACAAAATGACAGTGACTTAAATCATTCCAGTTAGATCAGGAGTGGTCTCACTGTATCCATCCCAAAATGCAGCTGTTTAGCTAGTAATGCGATGTGATGTTTCTCTTGTAATCTAAAGTTTGCTTCTGTCGTGCAGGTCAGCGGATTCACTGCTACAATTGCGACTCGTTTACCAACGCTCACTGTAACGACCCGTTTATCCGAAGTGACCAGACCACCTCAGTTCCTGTTGTCGATTGCAATGCACCTTGCTTCAAATGGGCACTTGAAACTGAAGGTAAGTAATGGTACCGAATTTCAATGAATTCGCGCACATGGGTAATACATTCATGAGTTTTCCGAAAATAGTTCTGCTAACCGTTCTTGTAAAAAACACTCTTTCCAGGACAAAAAAGTTACATTGCCTTGGCACGTAAATCTGTTTTCATCTCCATCCTAGCTTTAGCACAAAACACCTATACTTTGGTTGAATCGGCCCATCCATCAAGCGAAAACAGAAGGTTAAAATGTCGGCATGAAAGGACTGTAAAAAGGTGGGACAGTTTTGAACTAATTTGAACGTTTGGTCTTAGCTGCGATAGGGACACAACTGTCAGGCTAAATAAATCACATATTTAGGTTAGATGTGAAAGCAGACGAGTGGGTAAAGATCTCAATACTGACAACTCCATTAGTGTTTTACACTTTACGTGATGCAGACGAGTTTAAATCATCAAAAATAGTTCGCTTCATATAATGCAGTTTTTATAAGGAAATTTGGTCGCCCGAAGCATCCCAATGAACTTTGTCCATTTAATCATTACGTCTGTTCTGCGAACTTCTTGAAGAATTAAGAGTCACAGCAGAAGTCCTGGTGACCGACCCCGAGTAACATCGCGTAAGGCGACAATAAACTGTTCGTATCAAATTAATTTCCGAGCGATATTTCAGCGACAGTTCAGGACATAAAAGGACTTGGAAGAATTTCTCTAATACAGTAAACAACACAACGTTGTGGATACCGAACATAGCCTTATCTCAAAGGTGGTTTAGATGAACAACAAAAGAAAGAAGTTCAAACTCAGACCAGCTGACCAACTTAACGGCCTTGATATGCAGCACAAAGTTTTGTTTGAGGCCTCGAGAATAAATTACTCTGGTGTACATAGCCTGTATGGTTGTTTTACGACTTATTTCGCTGTGATAACTCAGTAGCAATGACTCTCTAGCTTGTATTTACCAAAATATCCGGACACCCTGAATACCACCAGTGTTCAAAAGTAGCCTGAGTTATGCTCTACTGCTTCACCCTGATTCTTACAAGAACAGTTATGAAACATGTAAAATGGTTATTCACTACTGAGTTGGAGACAATCTGGTTTGCCTTGTAGATTAGCTCCATTTTCAAATTAAATTGCCAAGATAGGTATATGATGCCCCGATTTCCAAGTACAGCTATGCTGGGTTACGCGTTCAGTACCACTTAGGGTTGGCTGCTCATAAAAAGGTGAGTATGAATGTTTTGGAGTGAAGAATTTGTCTTCTATTTTTGTAAACATCGTCCAATTTCTTTCCATCGAATATGATTGCATGAATCCAGATTACGTTTTGGAGCGAGGCAGTCATATTATCCAGAGGCGAAGGTTGGAAGAGAGCCAGAGGCGGTCAAATAATGACTTGGCAGCGAAGTATGAAAGCCATTACCAGCAAACTCAGCTGCGTTGGTCACTGCCGTATTCCTGGATGGGGACCCCGAGACGGTCCACATCAATGGCTAGAGACATTGTCAGACATGGCCCAGTCGCGCCCTCAATGGCGCTCATGCATCAAAGCTATTGCCTTCAATGCATAGCTCCTTTTCCAACCCCCGTCAACTTGACAACCCACTGACAGTACTGGATTTATGCACCATTTTACCAGCTCGCGCGTGCAATGCGCAGCTACCCACCCACCCCCCCGAATCATCGGTGAACGAAACTGTGGCAGCTACAACCACTGTACGACGAGTACGCGGTAAAATGGTGCATAAATCCAGCACTGTCAGTGGGTTGTCAAGTTGGCGGGGGTTGGAAAAGGAGCTATGCATTGAAGGAAATAGCTTTGATGCATGAGCCCAATTGAGGGCGCGACTGATGATGAGAGGCGAAACTACTTGTACCCAGGAGGTAACTGCCTTCATAGGTGCGAAAACCATACATTGTTTGTACCTTAAATTAAAATAGACATACGGCTTTACTTTCACCCACCTAGTGCACGTTAATGATGAAGATCGTTTTACCGTAACCCCAGCCGCATTCATTTCCAGAATTTCACTTAGTTTTTGTACTTTTTACTGGTCTAGTCCACTGCATATTTTACCACGTTAGTGCTTGACCGTGATTTTGTTTCTTCTGGTTTCGTACTTAGGACGAAAACGCATGGTCCGCAACTGCTCACATTCGCTAAACATGAAAATGGAAAAATATTTAGTTTGTATAACCGAATCTCGTGCGAACTACGGTTTCCTGTGTTTCTGTAACAAGGACAGGTGCAATCGGTCCCAGCGCCAAAACGGATCATACAAGTTTCAATGGTTCTTGCTCGTAATTTCCTTTCTTCATCAGAGATGGCTTGTATGACCCCAGTCTTTGCCAGTTTCCTCACCCACCATGTACCCCTACTGATTGTGCATCCCCTTGACAAACTTCGGATGACCTTAATCTCTGCAGGACAAGAATCACTGTCACCATTTCTTTTTTCTTGCGGTACAAAGAATATTTCCTTCTCTGTCTGATACGCAAGCCATTTTTATAGGCAAATGACCGTTAAAAAGTTAGTCATCACTTTTCTTCTGCCTATGGTTTAGCATGAACACTTTCCCTCTACCCACTGTCAGTACAAAAGTCTTTCTATGTCCTAATTCTCAGAGTAGAACCCCATCATGTATGTAACAGCGCGATCAAAAAAATTGTAGACCATGCGTGCCATTTCTTTCAAAGTCGTTGATTCTTATTTGAAAAAATATTCGATTGAATTGTCATTTTTGGCATCGAGCTGAACAATTATTGTACGTAGGTACTCTCCCATCACATTTGAGCGCGCGGCGTCTTAAGTTCAACTGGCTGGTTTGTTGACATGGCGAGTGCCTTCAAATTCCCCGAAAAATCTGAATGACCTTCAGATTTCCAGTGAATTTTGACGAACACTCCAACGTTTGGATGTGTACTTTCCGTGTAAAAATTGGTGTTCACCGAGAAAAGTTAGGGATTCCCCGGGAACGTTAGAGAAGTGTTTTGTAACTCACAGAGTGCTCACCAATTTTCGAACACAAACTGCCGCCACATACACATGCGGCTAAGCAAGTCAGCGTCATAGATATATGTTGTTATGAACAGACTGAAATGTAAGTAAAAAGTATTTAATCCCCTAATACCGCTTGTCCATGCCTCTTACACATGTGCTGTGGGAGCGGAGACTGGTCTTGTTGGTAATTGCTCGGTTATTATGACAGTTTAAACGACACATCCTGGCGTCATACTGAGACACTGACCAAGCAATTGCGTAGTCACGGAGGTGAGTTAGCTGTGTAGAAATGTGCTTTAGAGAGCAGAATTAGAGAGCTTTGGTGACGGACTTTCCGCGATATGACTGAACCAACTAAACTTGGACGGATCAAGTGACTGTCGATGTGATCTTGGCATGTCGGTGGTTAGCGGTCGCCAACCAGGGTGGTATGGCAGAGTGTGGTTTAAAAAGTAACACTTTCATTTGTTGCTGTGTTCTGAGTGCTCACAAGCCAACTCTCATCAGTATATAAATCAACGTTTGATTACCCGTATTTATGAAGGTATGGAAAAATGTGCTTACCTGTTCACTTTGGTTTTCGACTTTCATAGGCATCTCCCAAGACTCTGGAACATCAGACAGTTTGCATTTCCTAAGTGTGAGGCATAAACAGACGCATCCGTCATGCACTTTAGTCTGCAACAATTGTCCCGACACGAAATGACGTCACCTGGTAGAGTGCAGTTTCTCAGTACAGGGAGGAACGGAGAAATTCGATTGATGGAATTATACGGTCAACAAGCTCTCTAGTGCGACACCATTACAAAAGGCACTCAGTGAAGTAGTAAGATAGATTTGACTGGCTGATACGTACCTGGATGACCCCTGGGACCTGCATTCATGTGCGCGTTGATAATGAAAGATATTGTTGAATTTTGCGGCGGTTTCAGTTGTTGAAAACGTACGACCGTAACTTTTTACTCCAGTAGGAATTATCGTGTTCATTCATCAACCTGCTTCTTCGGCGAGAAAGCAACAGAAATACTTACGTAAAAGGAAACCTCTCCGTTAAATCTCACCAGAAGTTCATCTCCCACGTTAATTGGGAGTTTCCTTACAACACGATGGATGTATAAGTTTTGAGCCAGTGGGTTTGCGATCGCATAAGTTGTAGGTCAGATGCCGCATGTGGTCAAGTTGTACATAGGAGGCTGTACTCAAACCTCAAAATACTGTTCCACATCCACCCAGAGTGATTGGGTTCTTGTCAGGTGGAAAGAGAATCCACATCTCTGGTATGGAACCTTCCAAATTAAAAACGATAATATAGCATTCGGTCAAGTTTTGACAATTTCGGTGAACTGATAAACTATCACTTCATGCCAGTGTCGAATTTCGGTGGCGTGATTACATACTACTGGGGCACAATTAGTAACTAAACTAATGGTATGTTACATTAAGACGTCCTTGGTTTGTCGGGTTAAGTATGAACCAATTCAAAATTCAAAAAAGTTCTTCCGGAAACAGCGACGTACATAAAGATAGGAAGTAGGAGAGGATACATCCAAACGACCATCTCCTTTGGAGTGAAATATGTTCAAAATGTTTTTCCATATAAAGTGGCAACGCTGTTTTGGCATTTGCTAAAGTCAAAATAACATCAACATAAATGGTTTCAGTATATTGCGCCAATAGGAAACATAAGTATAATTAATATTATAGTATTATCGCTGCTGCTCTAGATAGTCCCGTTTGCCTACTATGATAAGCAGCCAACTTTGTTACAACTTATTCACACCGAATTTCGGACACAGCGTAAAATGACTCTGTGGACCTAGGCCTGACCTTGAAGGACGGCTTCAAGACGAGTAGCTTAAATGAAGTCAAAAAATGCAGTTTTCCTGTGCCCAGTCTTTACTCTATTCATATTGGCCAGTGGTAGGACCATTAGGGTTCGCTTGCGTATCTGAAGATCAAGAATCATGAAACGTTTTGGCAACTTGCCATTTGAGTTCAAATTAAGGTCTTGTAAATTACTGTATGTTCAATGTACTGCAGCCATCTAGAAGCAAGAAGCAGCTAGTCCAGTTAGGCTAGTCATCAGGTGTGTGAGTGTTATTGGTAGGTCACTCCTGCGAATGTTATATATATGTATATTACAAGGCAGTTCGTTAGTAGTGTAGAAAATTATGAAGAATATAAGAGTGCTGTGTGAGAAGGAACTACATTCATCAGTCTATCTAAATTATCGGGTTTTAATTCGAACCAACCAGTCCACCGTGCCATCTTGCAAAGAAAATTTATCTTGACCCAAAGAGATTATTATCGCTGGGTATCGACGTATTCAGCGGGAAACTGCAGCAGAGCATTCTAACTCGGAGTTGGTGCACACGCCAGTATTCATTCACTTCTGACCGGACCTAGGAAACCATGACCTGTCAAAGCCGTCATCCGTAATTCGGTTTGTATGGCCAACACTCCCAGATTTGTACACCTCAAATTATATTTTAGGCACGAAACAAACGGCTTAACGTTAAGGTATAGAAGTTAAGTGCAATAAGTCTTTACTTTGCAATTCTAATTGACGGAAGCTGCCAAGATGTTGCAACAGACACGTTTGCTGCATGAACCAAAATTGCGTCAGTTTAAGGAGCAAACCACATTAAGTACAACCTTCATAGTTGTATTAGATATGATCCTTATGATCCACTAAGATAGTTTTGTGCAGCTCTGTTCAGTCTGATGCAAGTTCGGACGGTCGAATCTGATAACCAGTCAGTCGGCTGATAGGACGAAACGCGACCAAGTTTGGCTGATGTTCCCCAAAAATGATGAAAATCAATTAGCTATTCAGGTTTGCATTATGGAGAAGGTCGGTGGAAATCCAGAAACAAGTGTTTTCTTGTCACGCAATTCGGAGTATACCACGTAAAAATTGTCGTTTTGTGATGAATGTGAATATTTTATTACAAAAACACAAACCCACTGGCAATTTCAGGCTGACATTCTAGTGCAATTTAACCGAGACTCGAGAAATGATATGCATGATTTAGAATAGAAAAACTTATACTGAAACGAGTAATGAATCAAGTAATAGTAGCGTTCAAGAAGGAATATTTTTACTGTCTGAATGAACCTCATTTTTTGGGGACTAAAACTGATATTTGTGGCCAGACTGAGTGTTGACTACAGATCCAAAACCTGTGGTATAACGGGTTACTGTTTTGGGGAAAGGTTATCACCATCGGAAAAACAATGTTCAGTCTTTTCGCTCTACAAGTAGTCAGTGTAAGAAAGTTGGAAGTCTGCTGTGATGCAGCCAAGAGATCAATGGAGTACTTCCTCTAGAGGACCAAAATTTTTTATATTTATGGAAAAACAGCCCGCCTTCCTCTGAAGAAAAATACAACTGGAAATGATGGGCGACAACCAGGTGAACACAATTTCATTCTACATCAGCCATCACCTCATAACATCAGACTCATCTCCTTATTTGCTCAATAGAGCGGGCCGAATATGTAAAAGCATGCAACTTCTGGCGTCTTCTCGACTGCTGTTCTGTTCGGGCTTTATTATTCTGTCTTTATTGCGGCTTTTACCGTAAGAACTCTTAAACCTACCTGCCAACAAAATGTGCTTGTTGGCTGAGGTCAGCTGCATCTCTGACAGCACCCTGTTTATCTGGACAGACTGCAAACTCCGAGTCAAGCTGGAGTCGTTGCAGAAAGTTGTTCCAAGGTTAATATACCCACAAGTTCTTGAGCTGAGGCTTTTTTGCTGCTCTACCGGATACCCGTCTTCTAACAATTCGCACAAATGCATGACATCACTACTTATGCCTGAGCGGACTGCAGCTCCCACTCACTGAAAGACACCTTGTACCACTTCTTGTCCACCAAGGATATTGAGCTTGGATATAGTCAAAATATCAGAAGATATCAGTGCATATCTAGGACACTCCAACTAATTGGAAACCATCCCCGGTAGTATGTTTGGTCTGAACGCAATACGCTATGATAATGGTGAAAATTTTTATGACAGTTAAGGAGCTATGCATACTGTTATTTCATTGGAGTTAATGTAGATTTTGATAGAAGTATCAAAGCCCGGTTTATGAATGTTCGGCCATGACCATGAGCCCGTTGTCAATTACGGTCAAAACACGCCCAAATACAGTAGCCCGATACGCACTCGTTTTTTGAGTGCACAGAACCTGGAGTGATACCCTCATGAATTGTTATCTGACATTTCGTAATTTATGAACCCTAGCAAGAAACCTGTATAAACCCTTAGGTCGTCAGTCTCGAAAGCGCCTGTATTCAAATTTTAGTCTGGTTGAATGATGTAAACCACATGCATTTACCGGTGTTTGCGATTTTCACGCATTTCATAGGGTTTACAAAATTTTGATGTTAGGCCGCAAGTGAGCGAGACATCATTAAGTTCAGTTATAATTGTATCGGAAGGTATTTTGGATAGCGTTAAAAAATGTGGAATCCTCGTTGTTCCACGTCATGATTTCGGATTTGGTTCGTTCTCCGCCCGCTCTGTAATATATTCCAACCAAATTATCCATATGGCGAGAGTTCGGGCTGCTTTTGTTTTCAATACAAAGGTGATAAGTGTGCGAGTGATCCATTCAGCTGTGCTTCAGATTGGTCAGTTTCTACGTTCGAGTCTAGTTTTCACATCTATGGTATATCCAAGAGCAGCA